ACAATGATCAGAAGTGATTAACTTGGCGCGATAATATATTTTAGAATGTTGCGAGATGTAAAGTCTTTGACAGGTGGTCAAATTCAGCAGTTCACTGAGTCTCTTACTTGTAACAAAGAGACCAGATTATAACGGCACCGCAATAAAATAATGAAGCCATCTAATTGTAAATGAAGTTGGAAATATGTTGTTTTACATCTATCACACAAGCGTTCCCGCTGACATTTCGCTCGCCTTTTTTTTTTCTCGCTAAATTTCGGATAAAGAGATGGACAGGCATTTTAATGTCATTCGACTAGAACCGGCACAACTAGTGCAGATTGTATGTGTTAGTTATTTCCAACCTTGCCAAGCTTAACTGATTGGAAAATGCGTCAAATGCTTTCTAAAACTTGCCGTGCAACAATATTACTGGTTAAGATTCCGCCTTCGAGAATTCACCTGCAAGTGAAAAGTGTGACTTGAATATGTACATTAGTAATTTAAGTCACTATGTTACTCATGCAAAATGCCATGACATTATTTACTCATTTTTTTTTCCAGCCCATTGAAAGGATAAGGACAGAAAATTTATTCTGTTGATAACAAGACGTAAAAAAAACAAGTGAGACAAGAATAAATCATAGTTAAGGTATGGACCCGGTTGCTTGAAAGCAGAAGAAAGGGGCGGGGATATTCGTTCATTCAGGGCGTAAATTGCGTTTTTTGATCTGCTTCATACCTACCCAAATTGGCCTCCTCTCCTAAGGGGTTTTATTCAAATTTTCCGACACGCGTTTTCGCATGTTTCACATAGGTGTCAACCCTTCGAAGAGCGTTACAGTATGTTATTGGAAACCTTTTGATTCTAAGACGAGCACGACTACGAGAATGACATTCAGCTCTCAATCATAGGTAGTGCGCGCCGCACTGCGTGAACCCGCGATCTTTTCGGCGGGAAAACGTGATATCCGTCATCATTTTACTATACGTTTTAGCGGGACAAATGTCGCAGTGGCAGAAACAAGTAATCAACTTGTAGAGTATTTGAATGCAGAGCGGGAGGTCGTGGGCTTGATTCCCTGGACGAATCGTGACTCAGTATCATGAAGGTACTTCCTTCGCCCTGCAAACCGCTAGACCTTCGCGTGGCTGGGATGAACACGTAAAATGGCGGTCCTGTCCCCAGAAGGATACGTCAAAACATTTTCGTTGTACTTTCGGGCTGAAACTCAAATAAAGTGCCTTCTAACGGTTATATGTTTTATCATGCATGCATTATGTGATGGGGAGAGGGCCGGGCTTTACCTCCTTCTATCAAAAAACCGTGCTAACTTCTCTAGTGAAAGAAAGTACACAATGAGGCTTTCCGGGGTGTATATTTTTTGAGAATACTTAGTCGCCTTTTCCTCGATCGTAAAAATCAGTAGATCTTTGTTATTTCACGTCAGAAACATTGGAAAATCCGTAGAATCCCACACCCAGGCCACAAGAGCCACAGAAAAACTCTTGGTAAGGCTGGGCCATAGGTTGCTACATGACCTACCTCTTGTTTATTCCGCTAGGAACGAGCAGAAATGTTCATGACTAAGAAACATACGGAATACGGCCACCTATTTACGTTATTCCGCTCACTTTTGTATTTCATGTTTTTGCTTTAAAGACTTTACGAAAATGACATGATCGTCGGTAATATTTTCGTTCATTTAACCAGTTTTTTTTATCAAAAAAAAAAATAGCAAGCTCTTTGTTGGTCGTTAAATAATGCTTGAAAGAGAAGTGTAATTCTTGAGGAATTAACTATCACAATTCTTCTCTGAATATTTAGCAGCAGATAAAAACACAAAATTTTTCTTTTAAGGCAAATTGACTGTTTACGTTGACTTTAACGCTTGCCGCCTCGTGCGAGTTAAAGGGAAATCGGAAACATTAAGTAAAATTCAGTACAGTGATATTTCGTAACCCATGTGTGAAATCAGGGGAACATGTTACCTCACTGAATGAGCTAATTGCAAATTAAAAGTTTTCTATTCTATTGAAAAGTCCGCTTTCGCGTAACACTACGCGAAACACTACACTTCAGCTGCGTCACCGATGCAAAAGTCGAGGCGTTATCTGACCATTATACTGCTGTTTGATAAATTGATTATGAAGTTGATTCTTGGCGATAATGGCAATAAAAGGTGAAACATGCCTCTGTTATAAAAAAAATTAAGCTATATAACGTAGTGTCAGTAATCGATCATTACTTCCACTTACTTGCCTCAGTTTTGATTAACTCGACGCCAGGCGATGTTCTATGCCGGGAAAATCTTCTCCTTTAATACTTCATTCGTTCATCTAAGGTCTGTACAATACCCCGCAGGTTTGGAGCTACAAGCTTTTATCGCGAACAGCCCCGGCTCAAGCTACTCTCCACAGTTCAGAAAAAAAGTGAGGGAAATTCCACAAAAGACGACTGACCTTGCTTATTTAAGCCAAATAAGAACGTTTCGTTTGAAATCATCCATTTTTTGTTGTT